AGTGGGCACTTACAACCAACCTATGCCTAAAAGCAAAGAAGCACTGTACAGTTATTTCATCCTTATTGGGAATCATCATCAGTGCGCATCTCACAAGGCTCCAGGAAGTCTCAAAAACGTGACACCCCGGCTTAAATTCTGAACCATTCGGTCAAGAGCGGCGGATCAGCAGTGTGATGAACTCGCACTTAGACAGGGTATAGCACTCCTCATCCTTCATTCATGGGATCCAGATCACGTGGTCACGTGTTTTGACTGGTTCCTTGAACAACGACTTATCAGATGGAAGTTTAACTTGTTGGATGAACTGCATTATTCCACTGAGCTAGTTATAGGTACTTACAGATACAAAAGGGAGCCCCACCGAAATTCCCAGATTCCCCTACACCGCCAACATCTTACAACCAAATTCTCCCTTCCAAATCCAACATTCCACAGACTAATGTCTTCACACTGTTATTCCCTCCATAATTTTCTCGTGTACCATTCGGCTTCCGTAAACGGCACAGATCTTTCGAAGCCTTATGGTTGAGAATTGCTTGCCTAGTTTTCATATGAGCGGTTGCGCATTTCGATACCATGCAGAGCGAATGCCATGATATATTAATGCACACCGTTTTTGTCTGCTAGCTCTTCTTTCTCTCGCACTGCGGATACTTAGGCCTCCTTAGATTCCTTTATTGTCCAGGAGGACATTTTGATACTACAGACGTCATTTGAATGGATTTGTGTTACAGTGGCTGGATCGTCACCACCGTTGTTCAGTTCCCTGTATAGACTGTCACAGTAAAACAACTTCGTTCAATGAAAACTGTCGATGATTGCGTATTACCGACCATGGCCTCCTTTTCTCCGCACACAGGAATGGCACTTCTGCTGACTTTTCTTCTACGAGAAAGGTCCTGTAATCACCTTCAAATTTCGCACCACTTTAATTTGTGTACTGATACATGTCAACTTTTTGTTTTTATTCACTCTATTGTGATTTGGTGGTATACGTACACCTGAACTTCCTCGAATTACCGTTGTTCATGTATAGTCTGAACTACATGACCCTGACTTTCTACGTTGCTTAATTTTGTACATTTCGTTGCGTCATTTTTTGTTCCCTAGATATACGTTGTCTCGTGCGCTGCACTTGTCTTCTAATGTTTACCGGAACGAAACCCGCGTATATAGACCCGACTTCCGACAACATCACTATCGTCCTTCTGGTGTATCGATTGTTACGCACATGTCAAGAAACGTGTACTGATGTACTGTGTACATCAGTATGTGCGGAGGAGAGACCCGTTGCAAATTAATTTGAAGAGTTAGAAGTTGCTGCTACATTTTTGTGAAAACTAATTATAGAGTCAAGGTGAAATTTCTGCCCAGTTGAATAGTTTATCAGTAACCCAATTTATTCAGTTAACACTTTTTGGAAGCTGAAAATATTAAATTTCCACTTTTATGATGGATTTTGATGAACACATGGTAAAGTGCATTGGGTAACGTGGATAACAGTTGCAGTGTAATTCATTCCTCTTGCTCGGACTTGTTCTTCAGTTTAAAGAGAAGGGGACTGTGCACAGGATCTGAAAAAGTACTCAGTGTATATTTGGCACCACAAGAATCCCATTATATTTCCAGTCTGGTTAGCAACCCAGCTTTCTCCAGTTGAATTTTGATTTGAGAGCAGTGGACATGAGTTTTTTTGGGACCGGCGACATCATTTTATCCACCAAATGAGGTTACATGTATGTACACAACCACCCGAGGGAATCACTGGACCCATTAGACCTCAGCGTAAACTGCAATGAGTTCGGGACCGCAGCGGACCTGACTGAATTCCTTACGGGTGGAACCATAATGCAGGCTAGAACAGTTATACTCAACTAGTAAGAGTATTCACCGTGGCACGCTTTTAGGCTGCATTCACAGTCAGTTCAGAGTTGATGATAAAACAGGGGCCACCTATCCTAGGGCGTATTCAGGTTTGACTTTTTCCACCAATAAACCGAATGAAGCCTCCGTGTATTCGTAAAACTAAAGCAAATTCCACGTTCACATCACTCCCATCTGAACAATCTTCATACTGTCCTGATGCGTTTATTCCGATAAGTTCACGCCAAACGGGTGGAAGCACTGAACTCAAGTTCCGTTCTTATTGAAGCCTACGAGTAGTGCATATCTTTGGAATAGGGTTTGAACTCCGGACATGTGACCTGAGAGGCAAGTGTGTTATCACTGCTTCATTAGTGCACGCTGAACGCACTTGGGTTATTACTTCTGAACAGGTCAACCTGTTCATGCTTGAGCAATGTGATTGGTTTGTCCGACGTTTCAATGATGATCCTTGGCTGCCCGGGTTGCGTCGATCAATTAATCTGCCTGTCAGAACATCTCAGTCACATAGCCCCCCCCCCGGCGCTTGAAAACTGCCGGACAATGTTCCATCAGATGTAGGTGGATGCAGGATTTGCATGATTCACGTTCACATTACTCTCATCTGAACATTCATCTTCCTGTCCTAGAGCAATAGATCTGACAAGGTTAAGCACTGCTGATGGGTTCTAATAAGAGCAAAATTGTACTCCAGTGTTGCACCCCTGTGGTGTGTACTCACCATAATAATTGTGTCACCTTCAAGAGGGAGAGAGACGTGGACTTGAGGTGTACAAATCTCAAATACCTACAACAAAACTATTTGTAGAATGTATGTTATGGACTTGACCATTCCCACGTCAGACAGCGACTTGGGATGCGAAAAACAGCCTTTGAAGGATAGACGCTGATCGGTTGGTTTAAAGTTTCATACAAACTTCCACAGTAGATGCTTGTGACACGTCAGTCCTTCTGGTGTTTTTTTGGCTCCGCTTCTCCTTTAGATTCATGGATTATTTAAATCAGTCGCGTTTGAGTGATTGTAGCTTGCAATCTGCGGTTGAATTTGTTCAGGGTATTTTCATTTTCACGGACAGTACAGGCTGGTTACCTCCTTCTACCAGATAAAATCCTTGCTAAAAATCACTCGTAAAACCCAAAGACTCTGCATTGGTAACACTTTTAATAAGAAAGTAATATGTTATGTTTTGAAAGGATAATCTACCACTCAATAAATTCAGTTTGTTGATTATACACCAAAGTAGTTGCACGTCGAGATGGCATTGGTGACATGCAGCATCTCTTCTACAACATTCCCAGCTGAAACATTCCAAGAGATTTCGTACCGCGCCTTCCCCGTATTAAGGACGGCGAATCAAGAAACACAGAAAAATGAACCTTTGGTCATCCAAATTATTTGCAAAAGACTATTGTCTACAACCAATAATCGAATAGCAAATGTTGTTTATCCACTAATTTTCATGAGTAAATGACCTTGTACTTGTGTACATCATGTGACACATTATTTCCTACAAAGCCGCGAACCTTGCAATGTGCATTGTGCTGGTGGAGGATCGCTGATACAGCTTGCACGAAATTTATGGTATTTCAAACATCTTGTAGGAATATGGGGGAGTTGAACGCGTCACGCATCGTCTGAATCGACTCAATTCACCAGAACCACCTGCTTGGAAGTTGTTAACAATACTCTTGGTTTGGTTGAAATAACATATAGCTATCTGATCAGTAGGTCAGAAAATTACCACAAAGAACAGTCTAATTATTGTCTATTAATATCTTCGTCAAAGCGTATTAACTTCAATAAATAATGAAAAAAGAGACACAAGAGAATGATTAGGAGATTCTATGTCCCACATTCATCTCTGTAATAACTCGACGGTACTCCTCCTCTCGTGGTACGATTATGCTGGGTGATGAAAACGAGATGTCTTGCCTAAAATGGAGAGAAGGTATTCCATGACGTGTTGTGGTTGGCCATAATGTTCACTTGCTCTACGTTTAACAGGTTAGGGAAAGCGACAACAGCGGTAGTCTTACTTTCGTTGAAGACTGCCGAGGCCACTCAAGCGGTGTCTGTAGAATCAGACGTGACTACCATAGGATTTTGGTCCTCCTTAAAGTACAGTGTGACAACAACCGTGGGTACATGAAGTTCAATGGGAAGCTCTGACCTGAGTTCACTACACCAAGTGATGTAAGACAAGGCATTTCCCTTTCAACGTTCCTCTTCAACTCCATCATTCATAGGAACGTGAAAATTCCCGCACAAGTGGGATTGTACTTGAGGCACCCGACCCGAGATGATATAGCGGTTCACTGATCAGACGCCACCGTATTGCAGACAACGGTAAATAAAATAAATTATATCTCTCTACTTGTGGGTGCGTTTTATATCTGCAAAATTCCGAGTGCCGCTGCAGGAGTGGGTGGATTCGGATGAGATGCTCACGGTTGCGGATGATCCGATTGGAATGTTGGGCAAATTTGTCCACCTGGGAAGCTGTATCAGTTCCAGTTGTCTATCCGAAGACGGAATTCCCAAGGCCGGAGCACCTTTGACGAACCCGCATCACCTGTGACGCAGACGTAGCTGGAGTTTACAATTCTGCAGTTCACTCCATATTGTTATACGGGTCAGAAGCCTAACCGGTGCGGGTTAAGGACATCAAACACTTTCAGTGCTTGACCTTCAATGTCTTCGGAGCATTCCTTGAGTCTGATGGGAACACCAGATCAGTAATGCTGACGTAAGCTGAATGGGTTTCCGACGAAAAACAACTCGTCCATGATATGAACTGATCACACTTGGCAGACTGAGTTTACATGGTCACATGCCCCATGAGTGACTTCTTCGAGCAGCCCTTTTTGCACAACCGCGCGAAGGGTGAAAATGAGCTAGATGAGATTAAGCAATGACCTGGCAACGAACTATTAAAGCGACTACCAGCAAACTGGTCTGCATTGATCATTGGTGCTTTCCTGCATAGGGACCCGGATTCGGGGCACACCACTTGTCAGAGATTCAGTCTGAGGCTAAGTGACAGTCATGCATGGAAGCTGTTGCCTTTATTGATAGCTGGAGAGGAAAGCGGTGAAGAGTAGACGAAAAACGACAGATACACTGATATATTTTTTCTCGTTTGTTCGCACATTCAAACGACAAGGTTTTGGAAAAGCTTATTGACATACATTATGAGACTGCGAACGAGAATCAAGTCTGAGTGGAATCACGATTCTAGTGACAATTGTCACATGTTTACACTTATGTACAAATCAGCTAAACAAAATGCTTATAACATTGCAAAATTTTCATACGCTTCACCGTCATCTCGATGTGAATGATCTACAACAGGAGGTTTGAATCCGTTAACCTGTCCCGATGTTATTTGATGAGCTATGTGTCGGGCACATAAGCTGTGCTGCCATGGCATGTGCTTATTGATTAGCATAGAATGTGCCGTTTTTTCTGACTGTTTCAGACAGTGACACTGATTTGAAACAAAGTCATCTGGTTTGGTTCTTAGACATGGGGAGGGGTTATGGGAAATCACCGGTGGCCAATTGAAACCGGTGGTATGAGATGGAAGGACGAAAGGAGGATGCAACACTAATCCACAGTTGCTGCCATTGGCTCTCTGAGAACAGTAGGACAAATTGGAAAATCCAAAGTCCGAGATGTTGTTTGCGTAGGATATTGTTGGTTGCATCTGGAGGTACTTGATGCTGGTAGAGATTGCCTGGGTTGTAGGACGATTAGAGGTTGGTGTTTGTCCACTCTCTGTTTCTGAGGAAGTTTCGTTTGAGTAAGGTTTTTCTGACGGACGTAAGATGATCGGCCTTGTGATAGCTCTCCGGAATTGGCTAAAATGTAGTAAGTAGAAAATGCTGTTGAAGTGTCGTATACATGTGCGCATTTGTTACTGGTATCAAACTTGTTGCAATAGAGTGACTTAAGCAGAGAGTCCGGGCTGCTGCTGATCTGGACAGCTAATATTCTTGAAACTTTGCAGGTTTAGAGCTTGGAATTTCAGCGGATCCTTACACTTTGGGCATAGTGTGAACTATCTGAGACCCGAACAGGCTCTTGCTGTAGCACGGAAGCAACCAGTACCATTTTGTTTGTAATTTTGCTTTCTACTGTTTCACCAAGGATCCTAGAGGGGAAATAAACCAACATATCTTTAGAACAATCGAAATAAAATGACTGACTTTGCAATAGTATGCCACACACAATATTACCTTTCCAGTAGGACAAAGTACGACGATATCCCAGGGGAATATTCTGTTCATCTATTGTACTGTATTACCATCATGACAGAAGGATGGTGCTACTGGACGCTATAGGGCGTTATAGATCACGCAAGTATATTCAGCTGAGCCATCCATACAAGGTGATGAATCCTCCGAAACAAGCCAGTGAATAGGTCAGCTTCTAACTATGACAGGGGTTCTAGCCAGTCCTCAAACGGTGTAGTGATTCAGCAGGATATGTCAATTGCCGGGAATATAAGTATAATCGAAGGCAGTTTATTTAGTGGTACGTTGACCACAGAAATTGTACTATTTGGTCGTCTGGCAGTCATATCATTATGAAGTACAGCAAATCCCCACTCAAGTGCTCGAGAAGAGCACAATAATGTTTTGCTTGGTGAGGACAACAAAATCAAATAGTGTCCACCATTTTTACCTAATCAATGAACGTTAAGTGTCTTCTTTATTCAGCATGTCTGATTTATTTTATTCCTGGGGAATAAAACCCAAGGTACTCGTGTGCATTGAATATCTATAACTGTGGCAGGAAATCTTGCGCTAGGTGTTACCAGAGTACTTACGAGCCTTGTGTAGCCCTGGAATTTTTGACTTCTTTCTTATCATTTTTGTTTCTATAGAATGTTTCCGACTCAGGCTTTCAACCCACGCGAAGCTCGGATAATTGCATGATCTGACTTTATGTAGACGTTAAAAAATTCACTTGGTCACAAAATTTACAGATTCACTGTAGTCTTGCTTCACTCATTCAGTGGCGGCGAATAAGTCTGGGAATAAGGAAAGTTAGAAATCGATAGTGCGGTTGAATTAGATAATAAGTCTCACCTGACTATTGTTGGAAAATCACCATTCAGTCTGCTCCAGGAGGCTTGTTAAAGGACCTTTCGAGCATAGTACAGCTAATTTGGTAGGGAAAAGTTTGTCAAGAAATGCCTCTTACAAAATTCTATCTGATCGGTCAAATACAACTACAGAGCGCAAAAATGAACCGATCTTCCTCGGGCCATTACATTTTGTTCTCCGGATATATATGCATTGCAAGCCACTTCTTTGAAGTGACCCAAGCAGAAGGATCTAATAATTAAGCTGAGTGTAAAAGTAACCTTGATGATTCAATATAGATTGCAACAACTTAGACGACCAATTCATTCTGAAACTGACTTTAAAGGTGTGTGATCTCCATTTCATCCTGATTTTTTAAATTTTTAACTTTGTACTTGCCGAGACTTAGAAAAATGAATTTTTTTCTCATTTGGTAGGGAAACAAGCCAACCGTGGAGAATAGTTCTCCATCAAACTAGCTACGCTACCCACGAACGCGCGGTAGAATGTGACCATACTATGTGTAAACCTCAACAGAATTCTCCGCTCACACAAACGGGAGAATCCAATTCTCCCGTTATTTAGAAATATTTTTCCGAAATAACCAAGAACCTATAATCAAGAAAGATGCATCGGGCGTACCAATATGCGGGTGCCGGAGCATGTCAAACTGTTAAATTTTTCCCAGATGCCTTTGTCTTGGACCCAACTAAGTTTGCTGGCGGTGAAAAATAATCTATGATCGATAACGTCAGTTTTAAATGGCATGAGGCGAGTAGACTTAAAGACCGCGACAAATGAAACAAATGAATACAACAACACCTGAAACTATGATACGTCAGCTCCGTGGTGATCTAATTTCACAGTAGTAAGTACTATACCAGTAAGCTACAAAGACAATGAAAACATTCCTTTTAATTACAGATTTCGAGGGTGAATTCGCGTATAAGCTCTCTCGTTTGTTCGCATTTTGAAAAGCTTTCTAAACAGATCGAAACATACGTCGGTTATTATCCACGAGTGAATGACAAATGCATGGGGCTCTGGGTATCAGAAATACTGAATGTGAGTGTGTAATCTGGTGAATTCTTTTATGAATGAAAAAAAATTTGGTGAAGGCTGAAAGTGACTATGTTTTCATAAGTTTGTAAGCAAGTACTTCAAATAGTGAGGAACAGATTACACCTAGTGACAGAACCCAGTTTTTCCGGTCTGCTTAGATGTCTAAAAGCAGCCATTCCTATGTCTACTGCGTCAGATTTTGTAAGCAACAGTGTGATTAAAATATGTGAGGCTAATGCCTGATTACACCACAGCGTACTGAAGACAAGAACGGAAGTCCATTAAAAAGAATACATAAATGCGCAGACTTGAGACTTATGCTCATTTTGTCCTGTCCCAAAAGCAGACTGACTGGCTGATTATCAACTGGTGCTAATGGGAAAAACTGAACCCATCCAACTGTTGAACTTTTTGAATTATGTCGGTGAATCGTTATCGAAAATTTTAGTGACAATCGCCGACTTCCAGATATGTCGGTGAATCTTATCACTTCTCACGCAGGTACACAACAGATTCCCATCCATCTTCTACAACCCTAACTTGGGTGCTGTGTACAGTCACAGGCTTACGTTAACTATTGAAGCGTGGATTTTCTATCGCGCTGTAACATACGGTATCAAACGCATTTCGATGTCTGTAGGCTGTGGACCAACAATGGAGGCAACATGTCCTATTGTCCAAGAAGCTAGTTATGCTTGCGAATTTCCTTTGATGTGAGTGCGCTTTGAATAGGATATGATAGTAGGTAGTTGGTTGGATCATAATTCAGTTTATTTGTCTGACGTACGACTTTATAGCATGGATGGAGAGAAGTTCCAGACATTCAGAATTGTACCGAACCTAAGGAAAAACAGTATATGCCTTATTATATAAAGGCTTACATCGAAGCATTCGAAAAGGAGACAACTTTTTCATTTACATCTTTTGAAGACAGTCAGGAGCCCAGTGTGAAAGTTTTGGGCGGAGTGATAGCTGGGTGGATTGGATGACCAGGTTGATTGACTGCTAAGTCGAAACTAAACGCATTAATTAGCTATGCGGACTATTTAACTGTGAATACTATCAGCCAGAGTTCGCCAGATAAAGTATGCGATAAAAACTGATAAACGGTTAGCGAGGTTCATGAAGACTGGATGATTTTGTTTTGGATGCAAGAAATGGAACGGAAGGAAGGATTTAACTTAAAAGCCACTCTCGCGCACAAAAGCAGCACGAGATATCGTGGATGCTAATACCGGTCACGTTCATGCACTTATTGTTCGCATGCAAACATTTGCCAGGACTTCACTCAGAGTATTCATAAACAAAAACTCCCAGCTTCACTGATTTCACATAGATCATCCATTCGATAGGTGTGAGACGTGAAGGCTGATCTTCGACACCGGAGATTTTGCTTTTCCTTTGAATGAAAACTTCACGCAACCCTGCCATTCATCTGTGCATGCGTGCCAGTTAGCATATCCGCGTCAAACACAATCACTGACCGTTGACTGAATTCTGCGGGTCAGTGACAGGTCACGCGTGTTGCCAGTTGCGTGTAACATCATGTTAGCTTCGACTGAACCGAGTAACTAATTCAATGTGACATGACAACAGTCAGGGCCGAAACTGGTGTAAAAAGGAGCTGCGCTTTTGAGTTATCACATGGTTCGTGACTGGTTGTAGTTATTCTCAAAGTTAAACAAAAACTGGTCGATAAGAACGAATTCCTTAATTTCGCGTCTGTTGACGAGTGTGACCATAAGGTCACCATTGACATATTCTCTGCCGAATGGTTCAGCGTCGCACCTGGAAAATCGTTAGTCACCTAAAGCCCAAATGGCACCTAAGCTATCTTTGCAGGCCAGCCAGTTGAAGCGCAGACAGATCCATTTAGCAGAGTATCGTATATACTTCAGCGGTTTGGCTCAAACATAGTTTTTTGAACGAATACTAGAGGAGGGAATTTCCAGCGTGACGTCAATAGGCTCAATAGCAGTGAGCTTCCCACTGCTTTAAAATTCATAGACTTCTGACTCGTAGCAAAGAAGAGACGGAAACTTCACTGTGGCCGGAGCATAGATTCGGTTCGGTGTGAAGACCAGAAAATTGAAGCTGCGGCGCCATATAAGGTTAGTGGGTAAAGGAACTTCCTGGTCACATTCGAGAGCTTGTGCCTTGACCACCGTATTGTTCAGAAGACAATTTGTCTCGCAGAAAGACAAGCCACTGAAAGGTGTCTTCGGTTATGATAATTAAGGTAAGTGATAGACATCCTTTTCAGGGCTTCAAGTCTTCCAAATCACGATTAAAAGTTGTGTGGCATAAACTTCATAGAGATGGTACGTTAAATTAGGCAACGTTATCCGTTAAACTTTCGAAGAAAACTGTCATTTCTTCACCAAAGGTGAACGTCCTATGTGCCTTTTTGGATGAGTAGTGTGCATGAGAACCTGTTTTGATAGAGCTGAGGGTTAATTCATTCACTCCGGTAGCCAATGAGGTGTCAATTTTGAATGAACAGCTAATAAACTGGTACGAAATTAGTTGCACTACTCCAGCTGTAATTTAACAATGGTTGACTTCAGCGACAGTCTTTCGGTAATTGCTTGCTCTTGGTAACTCCGGTCAATTTCGCTATTGATACTGACATAGTGTTTCCGATTTTGTGAAACTAAAATCCGGAAAAAGTTCATCTCTCCCTTCTGCGTCCTTAATAATGAAAAAACGCTTTAGCTTTACTTCATACGGAAACGTTCAGATAAAAAGGGCGTTTCCTACAGTTGATCGGATATAAACAGGAAAGTACTGAATTGTGATCTGACATACCTTCTGGTGAAGCCCCATTGTCCTCCGGCATTCTGTTCGAAAATCCCATTTCGAATCCCGTTTAGAGGTGTTGGTGTGCCAAAACTGGGATCATAAGATATGTGGTTTGCAACGCCACTCATTTCGCGCTTTAACGGAGCTGGCCTTATTGCACCGTATTTGACAGCAATTAGGCGTTTCTGGCGACGTTGTATGGCCCGCAAGCATGTTCTGGAAGAAGATGCGTGACTTGTAGGGACTGCTCGGATTTGGGCAGGAACAAAACGCCTTCCATACTGCTGGTTTAAAGGTGTCCCACTTTGCTTGAGTCTATGTGAATCGACAACTTTTTGAGTGTTCGCCGCGTTGTTAACCAAAATGGATGAAGTTTGGTTCTGCAGCGGCTGACAAAAGCTATAGCAACACCGCATAATAAAGTAGACTAGAATGACGGCGGAACACAGGAAAGTGGTGATGCCAACTCCGAAGATATACGGCTAAAATGGGAAGGAAACGATGAGACACGTAAGTCAAAAGATCAACAGAGTACGGGCAAAAAATTTTCACAAGTGTTATGTTGGGGGATGAATGCTTCCCTTTGCTAGAGCATATTATTTTGTTGTCTCGGATCCAGGAATCGAAGGATACTGTTATTTACGTGACGTAATTATTTGTTTCCCTAGTCCCCAGGCTAATTCATCACTCTTGCGGCGAATGCCCAAGTTTCAAGACTGAACTGTTCTATTTTATACAAAGTTGACTCTACCTCAACCGTTTTCCTATTGACGATTTGTTTACATTTATTTCTGGGCTTGTTGTTGAAAATCTGTCCCACTTTGAACTGAACAACATTTTCCCGTTTAATTTGTCCGATAGCACACTGCCCTTCGTGCGCCATCCTGTGTTGCTAACTGCCCAAGGTTCAATCTAGCCTGAAGCCTTTCTTTAATTCTCCTCACGATTTACTGTTAATTTCCTATAGAACTACGGTCTACCTATCCATACTGTCTGCCCACGTCCGATACAATATATTGTTCACTGCCCAATTGCGACTACTGAAGAAGCGTAAGTGAAGTTCGTAGAATTCGGTTTCGCCGCAATTATTACTGACCCTCCATTGGTGAATTAGACTACACGTTAACTGTCAGAGAGGACACTTAGATCGTGCGTTTAGGCTAATTAACCAATTCCTTGCTTTGAGATCACGGCCTTAGTACAGGATCGTACAGATACTTTATGCAGTTTTTGATCAAATCGGGTAGTGGTCGTTTTTTTCACCGATCAACTGAATGAGTAACCTATTACCGAATAAATTAAGTGATTCACATTCGACTGACTGTGTCTTTTGTCCTAGGAAGTCCAAGAATACACGTTTTTTGGTGGTGGGTAGGAAATGAGAGCTGAATAATTTCTGATCCAACTTCATACATCTAGACATTCCAGGAACAAATAACTCTATAATATAACAACGAATAAACACTATTGACCCATGCAACGTCACCAGTGTGAAAACGACCGCTCTGCGCCTGACAGAACACGTGACAGAACACGTGTTAACACCATTATGTTCGTGTTCATCATCATCATCATCATCATCATCATCATCATCATCATCATCATCATCATCAGCGACAAAATGACATCAGTGTCCAACACTGATGCTTCACAGCCGCACAACCATGATTTACTTGAAAGCCTTATTGTGAAGAAAAGAATAGCAGTTGATGTAGAAGGGACTTAGCACCAGCTTAGTACAATCGCCTTGGGGTTTCCTCACCTCCAGACATTCATTCACACAATTTGGATAGAAACGGATAAGAACACCATATCGTGCACTGTATCCAACCAGGAGTATAGAGGATCTGGCAGTCCCATCCTAGAAGGTGAGTAGCACCGATGCACCCAAACGTTTGGTAATATTTTCCATATCCCTCTAACTTGTCAACGGTTTGCCAACCTTCTGCTTCCGCCACTCTGAATTGGGCACAGAAAAAAGCACTCTCTTCGGCAAACGATAGTTCGGCATGCACAAAAAAGCGCAGTCTCTGGAGCTGAACACATTCTTCAATGAAAGTTTCCGAAATCTCGCTTTTTGCCTACCTCGTTACGGACACGCCAACACAAACCTACGCGTGCTATGGTTCTGAGACAACGATTGTCGAACATCTGAAGATGTCGCAGTTCCGCTTCTTGAAAAAACCGAGTCTCACCGCCATACAACATAACAGTCCGCACCGTAGTTTGACACACATGTCCTTTGAGATTCAGGGGTACACCAGTCTTACGCAGTAGGCCTGTCAAATCAATAAAAGTCACCCGGGCTTGCAAATCTGTGCACTGAACTGATCTGTCACACTACAATCAGAACTAATACAACTTCCAAGATACGTGAAACGCCCCAGAACTTCGAGTATCTCTCCCGGAATGTAATTGGCGCCTTTGATGATTGCATACGCAGGAGCATGACCTTACACTTTGTAGGTGCAATGTGCATACCAAAGGATGGGATGACCTTTGTCGGTTCTTCTGAACCACCTAAGCCTTATCCTCTTCTTCGAAGACGGGGAGGATGTCATCTGCATATTCCAGGTCGACAAGGTGTGAGAGGCTATTTCAACACCGGGGTTTTTGGGACATTTCATTGTTCATTTCATGATTTCATCGATCACGAATGGAGGGAGTGGGTATACCTGACGGGCACTGGTTTGTGTACGGAAGCTTTTGGAGACCTTTCCGTATACTCTCACGTCCGGAAATCTGAGACTACAAAGAAACTATTATTTTCACAAACTTCCAAGGTATGTCTTGATGGCCAGCGTATTGAGGAGAGCAGACCGGTCAAACGGGTCGAATGCGCCCTGGAAATCCAGGAATATTAAAATTATGGTCGTCTAGATATGATATATGTATAAGTATAGGTCGCATAGTGCGTATAGCGTTCTTCTAGCGCCGACGGAGTGTGGGGATTTGGTCAACGCAACCCGTTCCAGGGCGGAACCCCGCTTGCTGCCCTCGGGTCAGTGTTTCACAAGCTCCCGTAGCGCGGAGAAGCACAAATGTAGCCAAAGGTCTCATTACGACCAGAGTCAAACTGACCCCCCTTGTGGTTACCACACTCAGTACGAGCCCCTTTCTTGAAAATTGGCACTATCGCTGACTCTCCCCAGTTGCCTGGGACAGTCTCCTTTTCCTTAATGCAGGAAAACAGATCAGACAAGCGCTGACTGAGGACTCCACCCCAATCTTCCAAAAATGCGGATGGGAAGTTATCCGGAACATAAGCTCAGTCGCGCTTCACAGAATATACGCAGTCCTAATCCTCTGAGGCCATATGGGGTTAAATACACATGGGCTTCGGGTGATTGGCAGTAGGTAGATACGATAACTGTTGTTCGAAATATTCGGCCCAATGGTAGAGGCATTCTTTTTTACTCACAATAGTCACTGGATTTCGATCCTTGACATTTTCGTTTACAGATGACTTCCGATGACCAGATCAACTAAAATAATCTCAAGGCATTCCTGGCTTTCCGGGTCTCTCATATTTCCTTGGCTTTCCGTGTCCATCTTATGATATGGTGTTAACTGATACAAAAACCCTGGGAAACCTTATATGGTAACACAATTTCGTAAAACTTCTCATCCGTTAATCTTTTCCTCTTATTACAACATCATATAAGTTCTCGTTGCTTTCTNGCGTTCCTGGCTTTCCGGGTCTCTCATGTTTCCTTGGCTTTCCGTGTCCATCTTATGATATGGTGTTAACTGATACAAAAACCCTGGGAAACCTTATATGGTAACACAATTTCGTAAAACTTCTCATCCGTTAATCTTTTCCTCTTATTACAACATCATATAAGTTCTCGTTGCTTTCTGGAAAATGTCTCTATTGAGCTAAAGGAAAAGAGTGATGTTTCACGAAGCGGTGCTATCGCTTTGGACTAAACCGCCAAACTGATCTATTTTATCGGAAGAAGGTAATGTCTTATTTACACGACCTTGTTTCAGTAGTCACTGTAACTCCAGAACTGGTCGTTACGATGAACGCAGATTCGCTAGCACCAAAGTTATGGATGATATGACCTTATGGGAAGATGAATAAAACACGAGAAGATGAAAAATCTAACTGCTGAGTTTGTCCAATAAATAAAGATCTATGCTTAGAAGTAGAGGAGCATTGTACAGCTCTTTCATCCTCATTTGGAAACAAGTGGATCTCCGGGACGATTCGAATTCGAGGCCTGTCGACTAGAAGTTTTTCAGATCAAATCACTCGGCCCCAATTGCCAGTAACGGGATCCACATGGTCTGCAAGCTGCCTGGCTCCCCATCTGACCGTTTGTCAGCCGAGAGTTTCACTCGTTTGATTTAGTACTCCTTCTATACTACCTGTATTCATTGGCTCGATTCTCCTTGGAGATGCACGCATTGCCAATGTTTCCAAAGAAGGATAAAAGGCCTGTATGCGGCTTCGCAGCTTTTCGGAATAGGCTGGATTGACTTAAAGAACAAAATTTCAGTTGGATTATCCCCTTATTGTCCTCATACTATAATCAAGTTGACGTATTCATCCGTCTGTTCATCTTACATTGATCCAGAATATGATTAGGAAGACAAAGTTTGTGGTTGTCCGAATATTTTCTTAGCTTTAACAAGAATACAGTGCCGAACACTGATGTGTTCGGGATCTCGTCATCACATCAGTGCACAATTACTAGCTAAAATAGAGAGGAGTAGTGGGATTAGCAGTAAAGATCTGTACTAACTTAGACGACTGGTTATCAGCGAAACTCAAGGTGTACCTAACTGGATGCCGTGCGGTGATCTGGATCGTCGTTCAGCGACTGGGTCGATCGATTCGTGTTACATGAGCAACGCAGACTTAGAGCTCATACCAACAGTTTTCAAGACCACAGTACTGAATTTCGCAATCGTATTGCGACGGCTTCAGCTGTAATCAAGTAAAGCCGTTGGATCCATAATGGCAGTCTATTAATTACTGGGTAGATAACGTGTATTGATCTAGTGACCGGCGTGAACTGTGTGACCGAATCAAGCTTGTGACTGAACCGTTAAGTTTGGTGGTGTTCGGGTGAGAGATGTTAACGTATTCTCTTAGCCGTTTGATGGGTCGTGCGCACAAAAAATTCCACCGAGTAACAGTGGAAGGGAGATAGCCAGATATCCTAGGTGACAGCCGTATTCTGTGTTTGAAGTCTATTTTGAACAAAAACCTGGTTGTGAATAAAAATCGTAGAGTTTCAGCCGGAAAAGTACTTTGTAGAGAGTGAAACAAGTGGCAGCTGTCTGTGTCTGTCAGAATATAACTCGTGTGGTGGGCTGAATTAAATAGGGTTTTATGCAGCAGTTACTTAAGATTGTTGGATTCTTGAACCTCTCTGGGTAACCATTAGATCTGAGCACGTTAACGATGGGTTTCAATCCAGAGTCCAGTGTATCCCCGGAGCGAATCCCCCTTGTTCGGTACTGCAGAGCGTCAATCCTTAGCGGCACAAAGCCATGCAGGCTTGTGTACTGTCCTGTCGGCGAGAAATTTATGTAGATAGACCTCTAAATTGAAACTTTGGAAGTCTGACTAAGTTGCCGTCCAAAAGTGGGATTCGTTGTCGCGTTCAGTTTATAAATTAAACTGAAAAGAGAGACGTGCTTAATTAAATCTTTCCAGGGTAGCGTCTTTTATGGAGCTGTTTGATATAAGAATATAAATACCAATTACCTGCCACAATGAAATTCAGTACGTCTGATTTTCCCGTTCAGTGGGTCAAGGTCGATTTTACTCGTAAGGTTAGCACTCAACAGGGGACAGAGAGGAGAGCCCAAGGGGGTTGGTACTGTCAAATCAGCTGAGTCAGTGTAACCAAAGGTTATATTTATGGTCCCTACGAGTGGGGGAGTGGCAAAAATTGGTTAACTTTGTTTTCATAAACAATATTTCAGAATCTACTTTGAAACTTTTCGGAATGTTTAAGACAGTAAATCTCTGTACTTGTAAAAAGAAACAGAATCTTCCACGACCTAAATCACTGCTGAATCTATTCACCATAATATTTCCCAACCAGATGTGTTGTACGAAGACCGCATCATGTCTCGGCTGGTACGATATTCAAGAGATCGCACCATATTTTCACGAAGGAAACTACTCGAAAGTGTACGGAAAAAACTTGCAGACCTTGACAGGCTTCAGTCTTCTTTCTTGGAGCTCATCCGGTGGGCAAAGTCCCCGAGTTTCCGGCAACCCTATATTCTACTTGAACCCAAATTAGAGGAAATTCAATCAGTACACTCACGAACCAGGAATTCAGCTGGAATTCGGGTGTATCGCCCATGATGAACAAATTGGCGTGCAACTGGATGCGGTTGTGGGATTTCGTGAACTACAGAGATTCCAGTAGAACAAAAGGTTGACAGAAAGCTGATGCTGAGTCTACCTGAACGGCAAAAAGGTCGTGGGCTGTCAACGAGCTTTTAGCAATCTTATGGGTAGTTTTCTTCATTAAATTAGTCTTTATTTCACTTCATCTGGTATCCCTCAACTTGTACAAAATTCCTCACAGTTCGGAATAATGTCGTTATCTTTGGATATGAATTTATTCTGGTGTCAGTCATATGGTACTACCGCACGTTGCATTCCGGTCGCGTTATTTGCTCTTGCCAGGCATGCAATTCTGGATCAATAGATGGAACTATCCATACTAGAACAGAACAGTTGAAGCCGCGGGCTAGCATCCCAACAGTGTTCCTCGAATCAACCATGTTTGCGTGACTTGCGAAGTGTAAATCTAAGCTGATGACAGGCAACATCGCTGTAGGTATGTTTTATTTTGGATGCAAGTTAAATCTGGAATTACGGAAAGTCGATTGTGTTCTTTGTTAGTTCCATAGAGATTTGTTTTTTTTAGAACTGGAATAACCACAAAAAAATTGGTAACAAAACGCTTCTTTCCCGTCTCTTTCGAAATTAGAAACGTGGTTGTTTAGAGGGATCTGGTGGTAAGGCAAAAGTGGTTGGGATAAGATTTTGGCCTGAATTTTGGGGAACGGAACTCATAAGTGAGCGGTATCATCGAAAATATTTTGCTACTTGAATTAACGTGATTTCGGTTTTGTGCTAGGAAGTTTTCAGCGGCCTTGAAACTGATGTCATATTAAATAATTTCAGCTCTATATCTTAAATATCATGCTAACCGGAACAAGGCGGCCTGTGTATAGCATATTAAATTGAAGAGTAGTCTAAACGAGAGATTCATTTGGGCATTTCTTTGGCACTAAGCCAGAACGATAAGACTAAAAATTGTGGGCTTATACTGTAATCAACTGAGCTCACAGAGGCTTGTTGAAATCAGGTCCTAACGTCATCGTTTTACAAGATAGACTGGGGGGCTCATTTAATCAAGAATCTTTGAGAAATCACCTGTTTGAAACACGACTCGAGAGTCATCTATAAGAACATAGCAATTGTTAAGTCCGTTTATAACGATCACTTTTCAATCTACAACCAGCTGAAAATATACAGACTAACGCTTACTCCGAATGGTTTGCAAAGTCCAAGTTGGGAACAAATGAATGTTTTCCTAGCGGTCACTTCACAGAATTTACCAGTAAATTCTTGTGGACACTGACAGGCGGCTTGTCCGGAATTTGGATCGATGATGAAACACTGGCCATTATTGAAACACGCGTGGAATTGACAGTAGTCGGGCACCTTGGTGTGATTGGCAGCGGTCTCATTCATCGGGATAATAAAGCCTCCTGCGAGAGATGAGGAGAAAAATGAACGGATCGGCTGTCTGAAGGTCAATCTAATAAGATTAATCCATTTTATCGAGGACCATGTTTGCTAGCTGAACGAGTGACTAGCTCTGGAAAGTACTGCAAATAACCGAAACAAAATAGATTATTTCCTCTCATTCGAAGGCCACTTTATGAAACATAGGATTTTTTAACTCCCAAACTATCATCAACATTGAAAAACAGGACTACACCATCAAACTAAACGGCCGTCAGATCGCCGTTAGTAGTCAGCTTTCTTACGCATTTGCGGTTTTCTTACATTTGTGTTTGCTCTTCGTAATCAAGTTTGACAAGAACGTCTACTTGTTTACTTCTAACACATTATACATCATTTCTAAAGCAGCATTTAGCCATGTTCACACCTAAACCCCGCTAGCAATCGTGCCCAGTGGCGAGCGCGCTTGCAGGTAAAATTGTCAGGCCCTGCAAAAGAAAACGCCTCCGAACAGCGTGTTCTCCGGTTACCACATTGTTCAGAAGGAGTATATTGTCCATGGAATTCAAGTTATCGAAATCATTGTGCTTGAAACAGCCATAGGCTTCTTATTAAACTGCCTAGTATCTATCTTCCGTGAAGAAATGTATCAGCTTTGTGAGGGATACTACTCAAAAAGTTGCTGAAAACACCTGGACAGCCAACGATTGGTTTTGTCCTTATGTTCTTCTTGAACCCAAATTGGGCAGATTCCGAGAAATATAAAGTGCGTTTTAACGGGCGACTCACCCGAATCTCTCCTTTATGGTATTCTTCAACTGAATGTGGTGCACAAATGCCACCTCATGTTTCAGTTCGTACGATATTCGAGATAATGTGCTTAATGCATTACACTAGGAAGTCTTCGTGGGTTAATAGGCTCCCAGCGGTACCGGGGTGCTACAAACCATGCATGCGTGTGACAGTTGTGTGGCACTGTTTCCACAGCCACAAACGAACGGAGAGGGCGATTTAATTACTCGTGTCAGCAGTCATTAGGCGAAGCAGATTTGCCGTTTACCAATGCTTAAACGCCAAAACACGGTTAGTCTACCATAAACAATTGACATTGATCCGGATTCAGTGCTACTTATAAGCCATTGCTATCGAGTAAATTATGGAGGACAAACAGCTGTCTATAAACTGGGCTGCACATTAAAACTGTACACAGCTTGTGAGACCTCAGTATGGTACGAATCACGACAAAGATCAATAAAGTAATAATTTATGCATAATGATTTTAAACCTACAATGGACCATGAGTGCGAAACAAACAATCCACGGACACCCTCGCGCTCCGATCTCTCCTACACTCCACGGCTCTAAACAAGACGTTTTAAACATGGCGTTATTCTAAATCCAGTTTATCAGTTTTGGGGTTGTATATGAAGATAACGCAGCACAGCCAAGTGTTTTGATTTTGACATTTAAGTGAGGTCTCGTAAATTGGCTGAAAGCTCTTCGATAGCTCATTACCGGCTTTTTGTTTCATGAAGCCCGTCAAGCAGATGCAATCCCGCAGTTTAGAAGTAACTATGCGACATTTCGAAAAGGTACCAGCCGAAACTTAGGACAGCCTTAGGGAGCATAATCAGTTAAACACCATAAACGAAAGATTCCTAATCTGTTCACCGAGCTTGAAAATTTGCTTGCAGACCTTCTGTCACCAACCGTAGTGGGCTCACTGATTCGTCTGTGTACAGTAAAGTGGTCTGCAAAATACCTTCATCGATCAGACTACTTGAGATGAACGTTTATCCCAACGTGGCTCTGTTAGTGGAAACGAATAGTTCAGATTCGGCGAAGAAAAATCACTAGAATTTCAAAGGCCAGATCCTGAAGGGAATCAAGCACAAAGCAAACGCCTTACAACACTGATCCACTTTTTTTAGTTGACTATAATTCCACACAGTTCGTGCCAAAGACTAAATCGATTTGCTAATTCGCCGTGTCTGTGAACACTCACCGATAAGACATGACTTGACTGGCAGATGAGTCGGCGGTGGATAAGCAAACACCACCGTCTTTCGAATACTTACACCTAATTGGGTCAAAGTATTTTGGCAGTTGGCTCTGTTCCGCTACCTGTTAAGAAACTCCTCTTTTCTCAAGAACTGAGCAGTTCTCAACGTTGCTTGCGGTGGCGGGGTAAACATAAACCTAGCCCTATGCTATATCTCCGATGAGAGTTCTTCGTACTGGCTGGTGAAACTGTTATTCAAAAAGTTGATTTGAGGAACTATGCCCTTGACACAGCATGTGGATTTCCGAACTAGGGTAAGTGGTGGTAACTTTAATTGTCCTGGGTGACATTACGGGTCCATCAAGGTGTCAATAAACTGAATTGGTTGATTACGGCGCGATTGTTGACTTCAGATGGTTCGATGATTATACAACGAGAAGCGAGGTAGGACCAAATCCTCAGACTTATAACACAAATAGCGCAGCTTAGTCGAGATGGCCTTACAACATATATTTTAGGTGCGGCTAATCTGAAAGAGGTACGCAACAACTGCGTCACGTGACAGTCGGAAGTTATTAAAGGTATGAAACTTTTCATCCATTTCTTCCATGGGATGGGTGCATTGGTCATGAGAGTCTCAAATCATGTATTGTGTCTACGATGACGCTAGTAACGTTCTTCTACAGATCTATAAACTACATGAGTTACTATTTTTTCCAATGCAGTTGGACCGAGTGGAAAAGAACTCTGCATATGGATGCGACATTTTACAAGTACATCCTTAGTTGCATTAGGTCTTAGGTAATCGAGCCTTACCGCTAAAAACTGAAAAAAGATCGAATCATACATTGAAAATGGACTGAGTTTAACGGAAAGGCGAATAGATTTCCCACCTGAGAGGTTTTGCTTTAGCTGCAGCGAGATGCTAATCCAGCACTTCCATCTCGTCAGTAAAGACTCGGATGGCTGGAGTGATATACAGCCGTGGTTACAATGAAGTTTCGCTGTTTTACCTAAGGGTTAAACGTTTTTTTTGATTGGTATGGAATCTCGTTGATTGACTTAAGGCAAACAGTTACACGGTCTGATCTCATTTAAGTCTCTATGAGGTTTTGTCGTTATCGTTCATCCTGCAAAACGTGGAGGGCAGACAGATCTTTATGTTTTTTACTTTACTCGCGAAACGGAATAATGTGCGTTGCTCGTTGAGTCATACTAAGATCTGGGTTGCCTAGCTGTCCTGAATACTTCACCCGGCCACATCCAAATCGGCGGTATCCGGTTTTATCAACGCAAATCCTGTCCTGGTTCATCTCTTTTCACTAGCTCAACGCTCCAAATTCGTAATCCTCGTTGTCATAGTTGTTCAAGACTAGGTTTTCCGAAAATAGTCATTGATAATTGGACGCCACGTGTTTTCTTTCGATCGATTGTCTGATCGGTTTATCAAGTACTAAGTAAAGTTTAGGAAGTCTGGTCCTTGGCCTGTTCGCTAAACTGGGCAATTCGATTGCGAACGTTTCATCACCAGTCGAGGTGACGTCATCAGTGCGTTATTGGGGAGCGTAGTGGTGCGTAGCGGTGGTGATTGTGCGTTGGGTGGTGTTACGTGTGTGTTAATATACGTGCTTGTAACCGGGGATGACCTTTAACCGCGGTTAGTTATTCGGTCTGGCGGTTCCATTGGTCATTCTGTTACCCCGTGTCCTCATTCGCCGATGTCCCCGTGCCCGTTGAGCTTGGCATCCCTCGCCATCGTAGTCTGGTCGATGTTGGAGTGACCTTTGTCCTTCGGAGTTCCGGCTTGTGATCTTTATTAATTTGACTCGGAGGAGTACCTTGTTTCTTTGTTTGTGAATCCAATATTCCGTCCTCCTTGAGTGTTTCGGTTGAGATGTTGGTCTTTTGCACGAAGAGGTGCGTAGATTGGATCCAGTTCGATGCACCAATTGATCGAATCTGCCGTGGAGTATCATGCTTCCAGAAATTCTTTTCCGTGTCGCGTGTCTCCGAATGCCAAAATTTTCTGCGTTTTCCAGATTGAATTTGTGGCCTTCTCGGTTCTCGTATAGATATCAAGGACAGGGGGTGATGTCTCCTGACAGCCGCGTTGTGTTCCTTTACTCGTGTACATAATTTCTTCCCAGTTTGTCTAACGTAGAATTTGTTGCAGTTGTTGCAATTTATTTGGTATATCATATTGTTCCTCTGTGATACACCTCTGTGAGTTACCTCTGTGATATATATATATATATATATATATATATATATATATATATATATATATATATATATATATATATATATATATATATATATATATATATATATATATATATATATATATATATATATATATATATATATATATATATATATATATATATATATATATATATATATATATATATATATATATATATATATATATCACGTGGTTGTGCCAACCACGAACCAACCCCTACGCATAACTACGCACTGATGATGTCACCTCGATTAGTGATGAGACGTTTGCAACCAACTTGCCCAGCTCAGCGAACAAGCCAACGACCATAATAGAGTAGTTAATATTCATGGAGATTGGGTAAATAGAAGTACAACCAGTCGAAGGAATCAAAGAAAGATGAAAAAATGAATAACGATGGACACCGAAGTGGTTCCAAAATCACGGATGAGGTGCATGCTCTATGGTTCACTTGACGATATTCGAATAGGATTGGGCTTATTGAGCCTTGCGTCGTCTCACGATGACTGTTTCACGAAAGCAAATGAAATATCACATGTGATGGAATAATTGTAAAACACTATGAAGTTTAAAAACATGGGGCAAACTCCAAACTATAAACCATTGGTTGCGGCCTAAATATGTAGATAGGGATTTCCATTTCGAGAGTAACCAAGCTAACTTAGTCCTTCATTAGAAAACCGACTGTTTTCTGAAATAAAACACCCATCCGGTGATATTGGGAAAAAAGCATCCTCTACAGCGCTTCTTTCAAAAAATTGTATACTGGGTTGATCAGTCCATAATTAGGAGAGTCAAAACGTTTGACACATCATACGTGACTAATATGTATGGATTTTCGACTCAATCATTTTACAGTCCCCAAAGGTGAACCTAGATATAAGGTTTTATCAGTCAGTGTACCGGAGCAAATATCCTTTTATTCTGAAATTCTAAAAGCGATCTCTAGAAGAAGGTACAAGTGAAAGAAAAGCTACAAACTGATGCTAAACAGATAAACGTTATGAATAGCCGGTTACCACAGAAACTAGTGTAAACTTGGTCCAGGTAGACCATTGGTAATGAATTCCGGGCCGGGCTTTGGACACTTTCTTTGTATTATGCGTACCTGATCTTCTGCTACATGTCCCCACTACTACCCTTCTCTCGCTTATATCTAAGAAGCAATAATATTTCTTGAGATATATTTTTGATATTTTTGTGCCGGAAAACCCTGGCAAAAATCATGCTGAGTAATGTCTAACAGAGTGCCTCACGTGGCATTCAAGGTGACTATTTTGACTTGTAATTGGGAGTCAGCTTCTGAGAGACTCTAAATCACTGCCAAAATATGTGGCTATTTGGTTTCAGTTTGAAATGTTTATTCGCTGATGAGTCGCATTTCAGAAAGAAATTGTATGCACGCAATGTTTGATGGTTATTTGAAGTGATTTATTACGGAAGCTAGCCGCACCTATGATAACATCAAGAAAGTCAAAGTCAGAAACAATACTGCACATAAAAGTTTAGCCCAAACAACAGCACAGTACTTAGTGCAGTTTAGTAGTACACAACTATTCGAGCAATGGCGACCGCCTGAAAGCGCTCACAGGTAGTTCTCAACTATCAACAGCTACCTTAGGAAAGAAACGAAAGTGGTTCTTTGTGAAATTGATTCCTCCAGAAAAGTGGAAAGCACCCTTGAGTAACTCCTGAAAAGACAACTAAAAAGTTTGGCATCAAGATGCACAGGTACTAGACAATGTTGTTTGACCAATCGGTCAGTAATGATCACTTATAACCGATCATGACTTTACTCAGTCATTAGGAAAACAATCTAAATCAGAGGTTAATCCTACCCACTTTCAGCAGACTTTGTAAACATAACAATACCAATGCTTAAGGCCCAGAAACGTCTTTGATTAAGTTACTACGTTACGTTAAGTTACTACGTACAGATGATGTTACCTGGGTCAGTGACGAACTGTCTGCAGCCAAATTGCCCAGCTCAGCAAACAGATCAACAGACACTCCTGTATGAGTATACAAAACCTTTTGCACTGAACAATTTTTTATCCAGTTTTAAGGTACAAAATAAGTTCTATGCGATACGAAAGGAACATCAGTGTCAGCTTTATTTCGAGGTGACGCCTATCACCTGGAGTATTCGTGTAGTATGAAATCCCATAGTCTCCAGGGCAGTTTTTGAGTTAGAATGTATGCATAATCTTATGTGCATAGCACGCGTGAGGAATGATTTGTGCTTCACTGAATTTCGAACATAAGTAAAGGTAGTATAAACCTGCGAGGAGATGCAAGAGCTCTTTTTCGTATAACATTCAGAGGCTGACAGAGGATATCTCATAGTACATGTGATGCCGGTAGTACTGATTCCCCATGCTTTCCATGAATAAGTGCCTCCGAGAAATCTATCTGAGTCAGTGGGTGCGCCAAATGTCATTACTTAGAGTCATCTGTGATTACTACTTCTGTCTTGCTTTACAAAGCGTCTTTATAGAAAGCGTTATTTAGCTCAAGCATTCATATCCATACGAACCATATTGTACCCTTAACTGATCATCAATCCAGTAATACTGTCTGATTACCGAGTGATTGTATATAGTCATAACAATTTACCATATGGACATCAGCTTGAATATCAACCTGAAATACTTTTACTATCGTACACACTTTTATTTTCTGTAGCACTGTTGTAGCATTTGAAACACCTATGTTATTATCTTGGGTTTTAATGTTAGTGGGCTTATTAAAAGTTTACGTCATTCCTTCAGGGATAGTCATACGTTGTCTGTGGAGGTATACAAAAATTCCCTAATTACTATGGAATATCCAGCAGTCTGGGGGAGAGTGCTTGTTTTGTAGATGGTGGTCATTTCGGAGGAATTAATTTATTGACTTGGTTCTCTCGGTGGGTTTATTGTTGAAGCTAACCAAAACACCCTGCAAGCATATCCTTACGGAATTTTATTAACGTCCCATGGACCAAAAGACCTGAGGAAAGACAAACAGCATATGGACCAACTACCAAGGTGAATCTGTTTTGTCCTCCTGCAGTCAGAAAGCTGTAACCCTCCAAACCAGGTATTCATTTTTAGCTGATGACTTGATGACTATTAAATAAACAAGGACTTCGTTAGCGTCAGGACAGTATGGTGCGCTGCCACGACAGTATTTTTTCCGGAAGGAATCCTCTCTCAAAGAAATAAATTACATAGCAAGGAACTTTTTACATTTTTAAACTTTGGTCAGAGAGGCGGACCTCAGAACAATCCGGGTACCTATTGGAACTGAACTAATCAGCCACCAGAGTGATTACTGACTGGAACCAAAATAAGTATCGACACTAACACTCAGCACGGTTACAAGTAGTTGGTTTACGACGATTGTTCCTCGAACATTTTAAAAGTAAAATATTAGTGGTGTATAGTGAAACAAAAAACATGATACGGAACATTACCCCAACCATCTACTAAAGGTAGTTCTTCGGTCACATTTGGAACGGATCAATATGAGATCCCTCAATGAATGATCACATCCCAAGAAAGGCCAAATGCCACTTCCAATGCAGCATACTATCTCAGAGGATTACTATGACCGCCTTTCTTGAGGGTGTGGAAATTGGTCAAGGTGTTACAACTGACCAAAACGCTAATGTAGGCTCCTTAGGTTCACTCTAGTGAAGGCTGGAATTCCCTAAGAGGCTATGATGGTCCCAAAAGGATGACACAAGAGTTTGGATACGACTGTTTTCCAGGTAGTTAGCTGCAAAACTTGATAGGAATAGTGGTGGTAACTCCTGTGTAACAGAAAACACCTACACTGGATAACGATGACTCGTGAGTTTGTTTGTTTGTCCTGTTGCAGCGGGAGCAATAAAACAGACTTAAATAAATTCAGAAAATACAGCTCAGTTCTCTATGTAACTTGAGAAATTTTGAGGCTTTTAAACTCAGCTTACTTTACTGGGGATGGGATTCACATTTTTGCCGAATATAACATTCCTTGACATGCAAAAGCGGTGGGTTTTTCAACAAAATACGTTGAAAGTTTGGGATGCTTGTGAATATGGCATAGAACCATAAATAATGTCCTGGAGACAGTCAGTTCGCACAAATTCAGATTGTCCAGCTTTGTGTTGTAGTCCACCAGTGACTTTCACTCCTACGGTTTGTTCCGATCGGCAGTTGAAAATCTACAGATCACAATACCCGCCCGGTTCTGGTATTACGAGTGTCAATGTAACAACGCGGATGAACTTTAGGTTACTGTTCAGTTGATTGTAACGAACCAGCGAAGAGTCAAAACTCACGATGTCGTTCATTGTTACGCCTGACCAATTACGTATTGATCCGTGCTGATAATATCCGCAGCGGAGTCGTGCATTGGTTGATAGCATATGTCGACCAGAGTTCCGTTCAGATAGATACTGGTAAACCTATGTTAAGGGCGTGTAAAAATACAACCTAAAGAATCATGGTGTATTTTTCCTTTTGTTTTTAATGTGGTTTATTGAGTTCATCTTAGAGAGTTTATAATTGACCACCGATTTCGACCAGTGTCTTGTCACTTGAGGGAAAGTTCAAAGTTTGCGATAAGCCTTTCGTTCTAAACTGGGATTAAATGGCTTTATAAGTAATCAGATAATTTAAGACAGTATATGAAATGAAAAGTAGACATATATACATGTAAACAATGAACAAAGTGGCCTCAAACGACAGTATTACAAAAAGAAAGATAATTCCTTCACAAAAACGCGAAGACCTCCTGGGTCTAAACAGAGGAAAAAATAAATTTGGTTATTCAAATAGTAAGCACATGAGATTTGAGCGAAATTCCAGAGGACTCTTCCGCTGAATACGGAGGGTTGATACAGAGTTTGGTGAAGTAAAGTGAGGTATTCCGCAATGCTGGCAATTCTTCGACAGCCTACGACCGGTTTCGCCCTTCTTAGAGCTCATCAGGTAGGCGCAGTCCCCGAGTTTCCGTCACCCCTATGTTCTAGCAAATTGTACGAAATTAGCGATATACACACATTTGCAAAAAAGTGGTTTTGCAAAATACTCACCTGGAACCCAACTGAATCTCTCGTGTGTGTTGTTTCCGGGCCACTGAATGTGCTGAAGTAATGTATGACTGAAACTCAGGCACTACGCCTGCTGGTCGAAATCACATGGCAAACCTGGCAGGCTGTCGGCAGGTTTGGACCAATAGTCCCCTGAAACGTCTTGAGTAACATAATCTCCGCTTACATGTATATTTGTAATGTACTACTCATAAGGTCGCTGAAAATCCATCGACAGCCCACGACCGGTTTCGCCCTTCTTGGGGCTCATCAGGTAGCCGCAGTCCCCGGGTTTCCGTCAACCTTATGTTCTACTTCAAACCAAATTATGGATTTTCAGCAACCTTATGAGTAGTATATTACAAATATACATGTATCGCGATGTTTCAAATATCGTAGCGACTGGAACATGAGGCGGCCTGGTGCAGCACATTCAGTTGCCTGAGAACATTATAAACGAGAGATTCAACTGGGTTCCAGGTGAGTCTCTCGAAAGAACCCAATTAGTTTGCAGATGAGTGTATATTCGATAACCCCCGCTTATTATGAAGACCAAGTGTAAAAGCGCTGCCTGAAAAGTTGATTTTGGTAAACAAAAGGCTTTGCTACTCATTACCTCATAACAGCTACACTTGCCATGATTCATTTGACCGCTATGCTGCAGCCATACGGAGCCCAAGAAAAAATGATGAATAGTGCACTGAACCTTCTGTCGAATCCATTAAGACCTAACAGCTGTTTGATATGAGAGACAGATGTGTAAATTCACGATGTAAGCGATGCGATAACGGGCACAGCCTCTCATACATTCACTCCATTTCGTCTCACCAGAAAGCAATCCAGAGATAGTTCATCCGTAAGAAAAACCCTTAAAATTTGAGGTTAAATTTGAGTGCTCGAACTAAGTCAAAAGGAGCAAGGTTATGCAACCGACGGGACAAGTTTACCTACATTCACATAGGTTGTGCTGAAAAGCTTGTCTCATGATCAGTGACTAACGCACAATTTCGATAGCTGCCAGGTACCACACTGCTGTTGCAATATAAAGCAAATCCCATTACCGAAATCTTGAGGTAGATATCTCTTGAAAAATAATGGATTCCAAAGCAGGTGCATAAGTCGCAGGTCTCCCCATGAAAAAGTTGCAGAGTTGGCACATGTCCCCAGTAGTGATTGCTCCAGTAGAGTATGTGCATTGTGAAGGAAGTGGTAAAACACAAAAGTCTCACCGCTACAACAAATCGTAATACGTCATCTAATACTAGATAAGAAAGCGATTCTCTTGTGACCAGTTGCCTGTATGTGCGCTTCGTGTGGAAAATGGATGCAGAAATTGAGACTGATGGTTTATACGGTTCCAGACTCCTCCAGATTTGAATCAAGTTCGCTTCCTCATGGTAATTAATTGAGCAAGCCTTTTACAGATATCTGTAGACCAGACAACGAAACCTAGCGAATTCCAGGAGGTTTGAGGGTAACGAAGTACTCGTGCGGACATCATTGTGGACTTGCAACTCACCAGCATGTTTATTCATAGTCACAGCACATTTCTATTGACTTTAGATTCTGGAATATTATTTCATCTGATTCACCCACTTAGAAGATTGGAAAATATTGCGCACTGACAATTTCTTTTCAAGTGGGTGCCAAGCGCTTTCAAGCTACTTGCCAGGCCCGGTTAAAAGATCAACGGCCATCTGATCAAACACCAGTAGACGCCAGCAAGCTGCCGAAATGGCGACATATCAACAGCAATCCAACTAGGCGGAACAAGGGGCAAAACAAAATAAAATGAAAGGACTTTATAGAGGGCAACATGTGCCAAAAGCAAACAGAATATCATTAAAGTGATATAAGCTCGAAATTCAGCCTTAGAAGGAAATGCAGAATAGCGAAGTAAATATGCTGTCTTACAGTGACCTGTTGCTTCTCATACTGTCATGAAACGTTCAGATATTAACCTTGGGACTCACAATAGTCAGCGGCCCTGTGAACGGTTTATCTGCAGGAATCGAAAATGTCGCCCATCAGCAGTCTAACTTTAGGTCACAGCAAGGAGTACACCGAACCGATTCATCAGCAGTCACATGAAAGCAGTTTTATTGGCGACCAGTTATAACTGAAAGCCACCTACTGATAATTAGGTAGTAGGCTTAAATATTTTGTGCGAAGATAGCGTCGGCGCGAAATGAGAACATTAAATTCTAGGAGCTAATCTAGCTATTAGCGAAAAACACAGTGTAAAGTAGTGGAACATGCCTAGTTGAACTCGTCTAATCTTTTTTCTCCTGTGGTGAATGTTCATTCAACGCGTTTTAGGCGTAATACCTGTCGGATATTCGGCGCATCTTCGTAGGTGGGGCACTTTGGGGTTGAAGTCAACGGGGTCGTATTGGCGTACATCAACATATTTGCAGATGCATTTTTCGGTCAAGGGCACAACCAATCACAAGATTCGCTATCCACATCGGTACATTTTCTTGGTCGATGATACCATTAATGAACTTAACGCTTATCCTGTGTTCGGATCACCGAAGTGGACCCGAGGTGTCGCAAGGGAGTGTCGGAAACGCTGAATTTGATACGCTTATTTAGAGCAACAGTGGTTCACCTACGCAGATCCATCTGTTTTATGCTCTTATGCATGTTCTATACCAAGGTTAAGTCAAACTGAGAACCGTGTCTTTCTGGACAAATGAAATAGGGTTGAGATGGACTCCAACCAGTGGAGCAGTGGAAACTAATTTTGAAAGCAAACATCCTGGAATGACTTGACTAAGGCATTGCATTTCGATGCATTCAAAGTAAATTGAAAATTGATATCCCATCTAGCAATATTCCGGAATGTAGGTAGCTCGGATGCACCGTTTGGTTGTTGTTCTGTTCACCGAGTTTGGCAGTTTGATCGGTGGTTGGAGCGACCAGCCGGACGGGTGATCAAGTTTCCGAGTCCAAATAGGCCATTCAGTGTGTGAATCTCAAATTCCCCTTGTTTTTCCTAGTAATGACTCTCATATGTAGATAGATTGGTGTACAAAAATGCACAGTTCTTGTTAATTGGTACTTGATAAAAATGGGTACGATGAGTCCCGCAGGCAGCTATTTTGTTTGTAGGTATTTAGAAACAATAGAGTTTATGTAACAGAATAGACTGTATCGGCAAAAATGAAGTATTTCATTACAAAAAAATACATGTATGTGGGAGACATTTGCCAAGTATGTTGGTACCGTAATGGAGAATGAATTCTCCTGCAAATGAATGCCCCACAACATAACATTAAATCCACTACCCAAAACGAAGAAGACATAAACTTGTATTTTTTGATGCTTTAATTTCCCAACAAGCGGCCGTTTTATCAACAGATTGTCTTGTCATAGGTCTGGCAGTTACTGAAGTTGTTTTACAGTTGGAGAACTCTTTGTCCAGGAGGGAGCTAATGTATCTTGATGCAGAGGATGAATACCTGCGGGAATATCTAAGGCACAGTAGATATCACGACAGGTTTATGCTAAAACGCTCCCTGCCTTTTTTAAGTTATGGCGCGTTTTCAAAGCTCTGTGCGATTATGACTGAAATTCCGAGATCGTATGCACAACTAGATGGATCTCCGCTTTCAAGGCGCAATACTTTACAGTGTTCCCAATAATTCATATCTTCTTATCTTATTCCACCGTGTTCCGGCTAGCAATTCCTTACAATTGTTCAGCATCTTTTCGTTCTGCCCACATTTGTCCGTTCGTTTTCCCCTTGCCCGTTTCATATTTGCTTTGCCGAAAGAAAGGTCACAAAATTACGTGAGCTCTGGCGATCGAGGTGAGCGGTTGTCCAGTTGCAGTGTTCGTTTCACATGGAACGTGTGAGACGTGTTTGATTTAGCATTCAGTATTTATTATTTATTGGTATTATTTATTGGTAATCTCCATAACCGTTATCTTTGTCAAGAAGACGGATTTCAGTCTCAGTATCTTCTCTTGTATTTGGATAGATAATCCTGGACCATGACCCGGATTTCAAGCTTGCAAGTGTCTTTTCTTCTGTTGTGGTGGTAGTATGAAATAAAATGAGTCAGTTGAAAGCTAACAACTTGCAATCGAATTGCCCAGCTGAACAAACAAGCAACCAGAATAACTTCTGTCCAGGATAATAGACGTTGGCTTAAATGGATATCAGAGAAGAGGAAAAGACA